GTGCGAGTCGTTCTGAACATCACCTCTTGAGTTTTGATCACTCCCCACCCCACCTGTCCGGATGTAGGGCAAGAGCTGCAAGGCCACCAGGAGGAGCAACAGAAGCGTGGAAAAGAAAGCCCAGGGTGGGCTGGGTGGGGGATTCCCCCGGAACTGTGCTGGCAGCGGCGACGGGTTCATAGAGATGGGCAGCTGGGAGGATGTAGAGTCCATCAACAAGCCTTCCAACTGGTCAAGGAGCATCTGTTCAATGGAGGTTGAAGCCAAGGAGATCTGCTGCACGCCTACTTTGAACTCATTCCACACTTCTTGGATCACTCGGAACACCACGGCAGCACAGGCACGGATAACCATCCGGATCAGTGCTGCCACCAAGAGCGCTACCAGGCGCGGGAAGGCCAAGCAGAGCAATGCCACCATCAAAGTCCTCCAATGAGCCATGCACCATCCAGCGCATAGCTCAGCTCCCTTCATAAACCGTGACAGATTCCAAGCTGCAGACCCCGCTGAGGCTTGTGTGGTTCTGTCACTATTCATAGGTATGGCATCTGTGACTGGGGGCTCATCCGGAGCCCGCACAGGTGCTGGTTTCAACCAACCAGGGCGGATCATATGCAAGCTATTGATCAACCGAGCAAAGGCAGCTGAGATTCGGCGACTTTCCGAGCCGCTACGCCACCGAGCTGCCTGATCCCTGAAACGAGGATCACTCAAAGCACTCACCTCCTCTGTTCCAAGCTGCCCGGCAGCCTGAGTCACAACAGCTAGCATTGAATCTGCTTCCGGCTGGCTAGCCGGCACCATCTGCGCTGCACTCACTGCAGGAGCTCTGGAAGGGGCAACCCTGGGAAGTGCTCTTCCCACATCAGCTGAGCTTGCTCTCGGTTGGCGACTCTGCGCAAGCGGGCCCCGCTGCCTGCTAGGCGCCCGCCGGGGAGCACTCGTTCCACGGCTGCCCATGTCTCAGGTGAAAGGCCTGAGGCGTAACCCACAGGTCCACCACCCGGGTTTGACAGCACCAAGTAGTGACGGATCTCTGGAGTAGCCGGGGTGTAGGTGATGCTCACTGGAGTAGCAGCACTCTTGGCCTTTGGCTTGGCCTGGGCTTTTGGCACCGGTAGTGGCGCCTGGGCAGCCGAAGTCACAACCAAAAGCTCACCTGTTGCAGCGTCCAGCTGCTCGGCCAACTCACCCGCAACAAACTCCCACTCTGGAGTCTCACGGAACTCTCGGAGAGCAAAGGTCAAGCCCTCAAGAGCTTCAGCCAAACGTTGCACCATCCTAACGCTGGGCCAGAAGAGAGCTAAGGCTTGAGCAAGGTGGTTGCCGTAAGAGCTCGCTTCGCAACAGCACTTCATCCAGCTTCTGCTTGGCAGCTGCTTCCAAATTTCCCATGACATGTGCTGAAAAAGCTGTGTGCAAATAATGTTGGAGGGTGGTGGCTGATTTCCACCGGCCAGCAAACTGCAAAGCACCTAGATTCTGATCTCGTCTGAAAAGGTATGTAGCTCCCCCAGTGCGAAAAGATCCCAAAGTGAAGTGACACGACGAAAGATCTAGCCGATGACATACATGTCGAAAACGTGTATCCCAAAGATAGCGAGATAGCTTAAATAGTGGTGCACCACGTCTTTGATTCATAGTCCACCAACGTAACCATGCAACCAGAGCTTGATCATGGGAGAGCACAAATTGATTCTTCCATACCCGCTTGGTCTTCGGCTCACGAACCACAACCACTAAACCTTGATCAGCCACTCCTACTTCTTCACGTTCCGGAAAACATAGATCACAAACCCTCAGTCGTAGTAGCTCTGAAGGTCTCAGCATGCAAGCAAAAGCCAGCCACGAACCCAGTGCTGACGCCCACCACACATAGCGCTCCCGGCCCACCACCTGTTTCCCTTCAGCTAATAGTACAAGCAATACTGCATCCAGACAATACCTGGTAATAGGCACCCTTGAGCTTGAAGGCACCAACTGTCTCCAGCCACGCACAGCTGCCCATGCACCACGTAGTAATGGACCAGAAAGTTTCAAACCTTTTTGAATACCCAGCACCCCAAGTGTCACCCAATGCAGCCTCTCACCAGTACGGTAGCATTCTTCCACTGCCTTCTCCAGCCACCTGTCCACCACGTGAGGAGGGGAACCTTGATGAAGCCGACCACCCAAACCTTCAACCACACCCACCATCCATGCTCCTGCATCCCGTAGACTACGCCGGTAGCTGCGGCTGAGGCCTGCCGTCCCCAACCGCACCATCTCTCCAAACCACGTACGCTTCAGCCAGTTCAGCACAGAAACCCAGAGGATAAGCACCCGCTCGCTTCGCACGAGGCCCACGCAAAGGAGGTCCATGCACCATACATCCCGGACATTGACGCACCACTGGAGCCAACCAGCCATAGGAAGATAATAACCGAGTAGGCTTCTTAGTAGGTAAACCAGTACGGTCATCATCATACGCACACCAATGTACGGTAAAGCACTTCATCAGGGGATGGGAAAGTAGAGGTTGGTTTTCATCCAAAAGCCAAGCCTTACTCCCTAAAGGATGCTCCAAACAGACTGGAATCCCACGCTCCAACGCCATCCATGCCAGTTGAAGTGCCCGCATCCACAAAGCATTCCCCAACCTGATCTCTGGATTTGTAGGATCACCTTCAGGGCAACCTTTGGGACGAAGAGGGCCACCATAATCCAAATTCCGCAGAGGACTGAATGATCCACAAGGAGGAGAAAGCCAAACAAAGGCAACCAAACCTGCCAGCAGCAAAGCATCAATAGAGCTATCAAAGGCATCCCTTCCCATGTCGATTTCCACCGGTTCATGCATCTCCACCCCAACCCTCCGGAAAGCCGCAGTTAACCTCGCTGTACCTGCAAAGATTTCAATCCCAGCCCGCGGAGCCGCAGCCACTCCCAAGAGTTCCAACCACCGAGGTACTGGAGCAGGAGGAGGTAGAACCACAAAACGAGAGGGGTAGTCTGCGATGTTGCTTGCTGTCTCCACCCATAGTAATCCCAGAGTAACCCCTGAAAAGATCAAGAAAGGTAACATAGATCGTAGAATACCGTTCAGCTTGAAGGAACTGGACCGACCCTTGGCAAAAGCCCCCACACATACTCGACTATCGTTGAGACAGAGCTGTATGGTGTTGATGTTCGAAGGACTGGATGCCAACTTAACTACTTCCCGCTTCAAAGCCCTAGCTTCCTGTAAGTTGATATGTGAAGTCTGCCGAAAACTGTAGCTAGCTGTGACTCTCCATGGCAAGCATTCTGAAACTGCACTGGCAAAAACCGAAGGCTCCTTAGGAGCTTTTTCACTCACCAGCATTTCGTCCATGGCAGTGCGGTCCAAACGCACACACTCGCCACGTGTCTCAGCTTGTCGCCACAGGGCTCGCAACAAGGCTTCTGGAGCCGGTGCCATCACCGCACCACCCGATATGGGTGTCGCATCTGTAGCCAGAATTTCTTGGCTAAACTTCTTCCGCATGTTCCACTTACAAAAAGGCAAATGGATGGCCATACTCATCAACTCATCACGAATGAAGTGGGGTAACCAGCAAGGTTTAGTAGCATGCATACTGTCCATATACTTGTAGATGTGGTGCTGCAATGAAAAACACTCACGTCTGTATTGGAATATAAAACATGCAAAACCCATCAGCTTCTGTAAGGTATGTAGAGTACAAAAACCTCCATGTGCCACTCGTCGCAAAAGCTGCCAGAGCTGTTGTCTGACTTGAAGTGGGGCACCAACGGTGCCGATAACGCCTCTCACCTCCGCACCCCAGGCCTTGAAGTCAGCTTCCGCTCGAAAGGACTTGTGCTCAGCCCTCGGAAGCCCGACATCACGGTAGGCTTTCTCAGCAGCGGCAACTCGCAGCATGTCAGGGTCTTTGTCCTGTGCCGGCGGTGGCCGAAAACTGCCGTCCAAAGGGATAGGGTGAGGAGCACTCATCTTGTAAGTAACCAGCAAGTCATCTAAATAGATACCTTCCCACAATGGACCATCTGGAACGGGGTGACCATAAACCAGTGTAGTATCGGGAACCAGCAACCCTTCTCGTCGGAGCACAGCTTCATGCACTGCCTGAGCTATATCACAGGCATTCACATCGCCCATGCCCAATACCCGGAAACAAGCTCTGTAAGGTTTGTTGATATCCCCTCCAAACTGTTTCACCAGCTCAGGTGCAACCCGTCTCCCAACCGCATTGTGTCGTACCCAATTCTCTGGCAGTCGAAGAGCATAGTAGTAGTTACGCAAGTCATCTCCAGAGCCACGGACATACTCGTTGTCCCCAAGCAACATACGGCTGAAGCAAGCACCAGCCGGCAAATGAGCCCAGGTTAACTTCTGCATTGTGGCGTTTTGGGGACGCCGATCAAAAATGAGCCTATCTTCATTTTCATTCTTTCCTACTGCAAACAACCCTCCTATGAGCAGTCTACCATGGTTATCACGAGGTATATCCTCTTCAGGAACCAGGCTAACCATGTTGGTTTCCAACAGTCTCTTCATAAGCCCGGCCTCCTCCAGAGGAGCAACTTTGTGACAAGCTTTCACCACCTCCCGCCACAAAGTCTCGGGCAACTTCAACTGCTCGAGGTTGTCAACCACTGCCGCCTGTTCAGGAGGCAGAAGACTCGAAGGGTCCACGCTGCCAGCCTGAGCGGGTATACCAATCCTGTCCGCCACGACTGGTAAGGCAACAGTCGCTGCACTTTTCAACTGAGAAGCCCTAAGGCCCCCATATGCACCTGTACATGCCAAGTGCGCCACCTCAGCTTCCAGGGCCTGACGCTTGCCAGTACATGTCAGCTTATGACAGCGCAACTCGTCTGTCGCAAATTCCGCCACCTCGCCAAGCAAACCATCAGCATAGGCCCGAGCTTCGCTCATGCACCGATAGCCCACCCGCGGCTCAAATGCAGACCCCCCAGAGTCAGGACTGCCCAAGCAAAGAAAATTGGACCACGCAACCAGCTCATTGAGATAGGCTTTGCTCCAAAGTTCCCGACTTAGGTTCGCACTGACTCCTCCCCACTCTGCTTCGAAGACCTCAGGGTAGGGGAGTGCACTCGGAAAGAGTGGCACCTGATCACCGGAAAGCTCCAGCAAGGTACCTTGGGCGCTTTTAAACCATGAATAGTACTTCGCAAAAGATGAATTCTCATGCCATAGCAAAGGCCTGTCCAGCCCTTCAAAGGAGTTGCAGCGGGAAGGAACCGATCCGGAGTAACAGCGGTCAAACTGACATGTCCCCTTCACGGATCCCGCCCCCTGCGACTCCTCAGAGGGTAAGGCCCCTTCTGCTTGAGCGAGGCTTAGTCCTCCTCCTCGCCCTTCCCATGCCCCGCCGCCTGCGCCTCCTTGACCTGCTTGCGGATCTTCTGAAGGGCATTCACATACCCTGACACCACCGCAAGCTCCTCCTTTGTTCCTCCGAACTCCTTTTTGCTGAGCGGGTCTGCAATGCCCGTCAGCAGCCATGCCGACGACCAATCGCCGTTCTGGATGACGCTCTGCATCTTGGCCTTCATGTTTTGCACGAGCTGTGCGGTCCCGGCCTCGACTTGACCGGACCGCAACAGCTCGTACGCCGCAGCATCCATCACCGCACATCTGTAAATTCCTTTGAATTTCCCCCAATGCTGCTTTCGAAGGTAATCTTTGAGGGTCCAACTCTGGCCTGGAATCACTCCCAACTCGGTGGTCACTTCGTGCTCGAACTCCTGGATCACACGACGAGGATGCCGCAATGTGCGGCGATGCAACCGGTGAAGGGTTGCCACAGCACGCATTCCTGAATCCCTCTTCCCTCTTTCGTCGCTTGACTCGTCTGAGCTGGAGCCACCAAGGAGATCCCAGTCTTTTGAACCTTTGGACTTCTTCTTGGACTTGGTTTGCTGCTGAGCCAAAAGGCTCATCATCATCAACGGCATCAGTTCGCTTGGAGATTGCCCCTCTGACAATCCCTGCTGGACCATCTGGCTGAAGGACTCGCCCAAATCTGGAGCTTTCTCTTTCTCGGCTTTGGCTTTCTTCTGGAGTCCGCTTGAACCAGGAGGCAAGTGTTTGCCTCGAGGCGGACGGTGACTGGGAGCAGCTTCTTCGTCTCCCTCGTCGTCGCTGTCGGATTCCTCTTCCTCTTCTTCTTCCCATAGCTCTCCTAAGGCACTCAAGTCACGCTGCAAAGAGGTACCTTTCTTCTTAGGTACCCAGTGCTTCTCTTTGGGTGCTTCTGCTCCACTACTGATTTCAGTTTCACGGTTGACGGCAGCCCAACCACTCAAACTATCCTCTTTGCTTGGCACTTTTTCCCGTGGCCAGCCTGCAGGCCTCTGGGTCACTACAGACTGTTTCTGCACTCGAACAAAGCAAAGTTCTGGCTCGCCCTCCCCAGGGCCAACACCACGGACAGCTTCAGTAAGGCTGCCAAGGCGGCTGACGTAGCCGCAGATCACCACCGTGTCACCCTCTACAGCAGCTACACGTCCACACCCCTTAAGGATACGGTCACCACTTCTGAAACACACGTATGCTTCCGAACCAGTTACCAAGGACATGGCTAGGGACTTGGGAAACGCTTTTGAACTTGAGAAAAGTAATGCAGCAGTGGTCACTGCACATCTTCCGCTGAGACCCTCATGCTGTGCACCGGCTTTCATGCAAGAATCTCAGGGGACATGTAAAATCCTTAGTTGATTCCATAAAAGCCTATTAAATTCATGGTTGTTGGAAGCCTAGGGATATGATAAATCACATGGGATTGATCAACATGGCAGTCGCACATCCCATTCTCATGGACGAATCCTATTTTCGACCCCGGCCTGGACTTCCGTTCGACCGTGGTTTTTGATGGTTTTTGTAGCAAAGTCTTGAGTTGAATTGAATAAAGCAATAGGCTGAAAGGCTCGGGATTCAGCCTTGCCAACCACTATCCTTAGTTCGTTGGAAGTGTAGAGATCTTCTTCACACCTCGATGGTCCCGACCTCCCGGCCTTGAGCACGCGGCCGCGGCCGGTGTCCGAGGTGCCTCGGTGTCTCTCCAGCACTGTGAGATGATTCGAAAAACACCAGGACCCCCCAAAGGGGTGGGTTCATGGACACCCCGAATCATCACCTCTAAGGGGCGATGAATGGCTGGACACTACCCTGAATCCGTTGCAAAGTCAAGTGACTCTTTAGGGTTCGGTCCTCATGTCGCGCTGCTTTGGAAGACCCGAACCCTCCACGCGGCGCGCGGCGTGATCCGCGAGATCCGAGGGGCTTTGCCCCACACCGAAGACCCGATCCAAGTGCTCGAAGAGACCACGCACGAAGGGCTCCTGACGCACGAAGGGCGCCGTTCAGGGCCAAGAAGTAGGACGTTCAGGCGTGAAAAAGGTGGTTAGCAGCACTGGAATCACTGTGGGCTAGCAGCACTTCATGAGACGGGTCATGTGTGTGAGAATCACATGACGTAGTTTGCGGATCGGAGGCGCTCACGTCACATTCAACGCACCAAGTGATTCACTAGCGTACGCTGTAGTCAAACAACTCGAGTTCTTTGCCCATACACTCCATGTATGCCATATATGCCTACATTAGCCCCCCAAACCACCCCAATGTAGGCATATATGGCATACATGGAGTGTCTGGGTTGGGATGAAAAGACCCTTTGAGACTAAATGGTGGGCGTCCGAACACGACGGCACGTCGAGCCCAAACGTCGCATGCGACCCTGCCCACGTCGCCTCGCTGCCCTTCAGGCATTGCACCAAGTCCGGCGACAGTTCGTCCTGCCGGTCGACCGGAAGGACGTTCCTCTGGGACGGGAGGTGTGGAACCGAACCGGAACCGGGACTTCCTGAGGTGTGGTGAAAGCATCCTGAGGACTTTCAAGCTGAGAACAAAGGACAAGTAGTTCTCATGGCACTTCTTCCTTTCAACGTGCTTAATCTCACTTGGGGGGGGTGGTTTACACATGTTTATTTAAACGCATCATGAAAGAGTAGGCCTGTGTGCTATTAAACAACATCTCCAGTCCAAGTGGCCTCAGTTGAGGGAAGTTCGCCATAGACTCAACAAGAATCCAAACAGTTCAAAGTTAACGTCACCCCTGGACCCCCGTGGAAAGTAAAAGCAATCCTCTTCACCAATCCACCAGATTACTTGCGATCATTTTTCCTGCAAACCCTTCAAGGGGCAATGCTGCCTTTGCAGCCCTTCAAGAACCACACGCGGTGCAAGGGCTGCTGAGCTCCTCCTTAAACACATGTCTTCCACCTCAGTTGTAAGTGGTTCCACCTGCAAAAAAATACAAAAACACATCCTGTAAAACACATCCTCTTCAACTCCAGGACGAGAGTCTTGGCTTGGCTTGGCTTGGCTTCTCCCCCCTTCTGAGTTTCTTGGGGCTTCTCTCCCGCTCTCCTTGTTCTTCTCCAGGAACTCCGTGCAGTGATACGTCACCGGTCCGGCGAAGTGGCCTCTACCGGCGCGACCGCTGAGGCGGAGGCACGTCCGAGCTGAGTCGTCTCAGGGCGGCAACGGTCTCGGAGCTGATGAGGGATGATGAGGGTGGAGTTTCGATAAGGTCCTTATGTAGGTCTTTAAACCCTATACCAAACACGACCCATGGGACTGCCGAGAAACGGCCAGGGGTGGTTGTTTTTTGGGGGTCAATGGGGCGGCATATATGGCAGTCCCATGGAGTGTCTGGGTATATTAGGTCCTTACAGACCTGATGAGGGTTAGAATAAGGCACAGGACCTGATGAGGGTAGTTAGGCTTGAGCAAGGTGTGCCTGTTCTACCTTGCACAAGGTTTAATTGCACACCTTGCACAATGGTTGAAGAAAGGTTGGCTCAGGTCAGTGCCTGACCTTCCAGTATCTGAGGTATATATATTAGTTATAACATGTTATAACGGGTGACTCCCACTACCAACGGGATAACATGAGCCCAGAGTAGTGAGCCAATCATGGAATGATCATTTCCGGATCCACAGCCACTTGCGACTAGGAGGCGGATGATGAAGGTGCCCTTCTTCAGCTTGTCATAGGCAAAGTGCTTGTTCCGCTCGTGCAGCCGGACCTCACTAGGCAAAGTTCCCGCAACGACACACCGCCCTGCACCATGTAACTTCCACAAAACACCACCCCTGACGACATATAGGGTTGAAGTAGGGACCCCTGCCACCTGCGACCAAAGACACGGCAAAGCATCTTCCTATACAACATCTCTGATTTCCTTGCTGCATTTGCATCGATCGCAGAACACTCAGGAGTCACGCCGTCGCAAAAGGGGTGGGATGCCAGCATCACATCCACGAGCACGGATGGGACGAAGCAAACCACCCAATTGACCGATCCAGGCCACTATAGCTGGGAGTCCCAGAGGTTCCAGTTACCACAAAAACCATAGGTTCCGAATCCCTGATTCCTTAGTACTCGTGGTTTGCCTGGGATCCCATATAGGGGTACATATGGGATGGGCGGCTCTTTCACGGCTGTTCGTCACCTCTCTTGGCGTCACGGCTGTTCACCCGAGGGGCCAATTTGTTGCACCAAGCCTCTGACGAGCCGCCGACGTGAAAGCACTCCTGCAGTCCGAGGCTCGAAGACGAAACCCGGTGCAGTGCGTGGGGAGGCCGTGGTGGGGCCGTGGCAGATGGATGCTTCAGATATCCAGAAGGCCATGTCGATTCTGGATGATTCGACGTGTGGTTTTGGCTCACCAGACATTGCATCGATCGGATGGTTGGAAGAAGGCCGAAAGGATCCGAACGACGTGAGGCCCAAATCGAACGACACACTGCTGGTGAGGGCACCCTTAAGACACATCCACTGCTGGTAGCACCATCTACCAGGACCGAAACCAAGTCCGGTGGTTTTTGGACACCCCGAATCACCACTAAGAGGCTATTTATAGACACCTCTTGGAAGGTTCTGGTAGTTGCCATGTTTTTCGGAATCAGATAGGTCCTAAGAGCAATTCTCCAAGAATCATTAAGATTCACACCTATATAGGATATAGAGTGATAGAAAGAGCCCACTATCGGTTGAGACTCTAACAACAACGCCTCTGAGCAAATCAAACCCTCACAACAGCGCTTTGGGGATTCGCTGCACCGGCAAAGGAGAGGTCTTGGAATCCAAATCGTCCTTGGTGGGCTTTTCGACTCTCAATCCCACCCGCCTTTGAAACAGCTTCGACCAAATGCCTCATCGGTGCTGAACATGGTTGAACAACATCAGTTTCGCAAAGAGCAGGTCCACCGGATGGATAGTCCCGGTCTTGGCCACCAACAAGACCAATAACTTGAAGACGACCGGCTGGCACTGAGCAACAAGTGCAACATGACGTAAAGACAACAACCCTCACAAGGCACCCAAGGGAGAACTCTTGTGGGCGCTTGGTGACTCTATGGCTTACAGCATCCACCAACTCCAACCTCCCCTTGCACCGCATCGCGTCGTCCCTCCCCGCGGGCGGCGGTGATGGAGCATAGGGGCGCCTCCTCGAGCATCGGGAGAACGCCCTCCATCTTCCCATGCAACAGCTCCTGCCCGTCAACGCGGTCCACGCGGCGTCCGAGCGGGCACCCTGGCGGGCGTGGAGGGAATTTGGGACTTCTTAGCTCCTATAGTAGTAAGGCCAGGCGTCCTTGCTCCGTTCGTAGCGTTGCCAGGAGCCCCTGGTAGCTTCTTGCTCCCAGTAGCGTCCTCAGAGGTTCGTGGGTGATGATGGTGTGGGCTCCTTTGAGCCTCCAAGTGGTCGCTACTGTGGTCGCTACTGTGGTGAGGCTAACCCCGAGCTGCACACCTCATCGCCGCCTCATCGCCGTAGCATGTAGCATGGGACAAACACGAGGGACCGAAGAGGCATGAACAGTGGCGTAGTTGGCACTTTTTCCGACTTTCGCAGATTGAGCTTGGGCAAGTACATCATGGCACCTTAAACGATAGTGAGTGATGAGTGAATGAATGAGTGATGAGTCAAAACCGGAGCAAAGAAGGACCCGTTTTGACATCTGTCTTGGCAATTTGAAGCAAAGAACCACACCGCCGGCGGCTCTTCGACGAACACGTCGTGTTCGGCCCGCTCCAGGATCGTGGTGTTGTCGGGGAAATCCTCGGCGTCCCAGCGGATGCCCTCCGCCTGCGCCGCACCGCCGCCACCGACGGAATCGTCGACCGGTGGTCCGATCAGTTCGACCGAACCGCACGTGACTGGAAGGTGGATCCTGCCGACGCGACCGGTCGCAGGATGGACCGGAAAGAGTTCTACAGGAACTGTTCCCGGTCGATCGATGGTTGTACGGCATCGACGGGGTCTTGCTGCAAGATCCAGGGGTGAGTCCTCCGCGGGCGCTCGATTTAGGCGGACCATGTGATCGTGCATGCCACGTATGGCTGCGTAACCAGCAAAAAGGATGTCTTGACGACATAAGTTTAGGACCGCAAAACCCCTGACCTGATGATGGGATCGCTCTTTGTGGTTTGCCGCCAAGTCGACGACCAGTTCTTCCGACCAGTGCGTGCTTGTGGAAACCACTGAGGGCATACATGTTCTGTCCGTTGGACCGTCGGACGGCCGGTCACTTCTGTCCGTCGGACCGTGGAGGTGACATATAACCACACCCTAGGCTTCCAACCACCATTAATTTAATAGGCTGAATCCCGAATCAACTAAGGATTTTACACTACAAAAACCAGGTCAACCATTGTTTTAATGGTCTTGGAAGTCTAGGGTAACCACAGTTAACCTCAAAGTGAGCCCAATGCAATCTTTCTTTGAAGACTCATTTGGATTGGAAGTGGCCTAAGAGGGGCCTATACTGTATGACTCTTGATTGGATGGTAAACCGCCCATTTGGATGGTAAAACCTCTTAGGACCCCGGGGGGTAGTACTGTATGTACTGTGTACTTCATCTAAACCCTACCAGGGGACCATCTGGATCCGACCTTCGATCGGATCGGGTTTGGTCGGTCCGGTGGAACCGACCGCAGCGACCACACGTTCCGTCTTCAGCTGCCAGCAGAGGCGGGGAGCGAACCCGGTCACGAACTCGACGATCCGAACGTTCGGTACCCCTGGTGACGGGGCCGAACGTTCAGGTCACTCTCCACCTCTGTAGCTGTGTCTCCTGCGCTTTGCCACCCTGCAATTCTTAAAGGCACCTGACTCAGTCTGGGATGGTCAAGTTCGCCGAAGAGCTGCAACCAGCAAAGGCACCATCCCCAATGTGGGTCACTGAGTCCGGGATGGTCAAGCTTGCCAAAGAGGTGCAATCCGCAAAGGCATATGACCCAATGTGGGTCACTGAGTCCGGGATGGTCAAGTCCGCCAAAGAGCTGCAATCCCGAAAGGCTTGATCCCCGATGTGGGTCA